CAGGATACAAAATCAACATACAGAAATCTATAGCATTTCTATATACAAACAGCAGGCAGACTGAGATAGAACTGAAAAAAGTAACTCCATTTACCATAGCCACAAACAGTATAAGATACCTAGAAATAAATCTAACCAAAGAAGTTAAAGATCTCCACAAAGAAAACTACGAGATGCTAAAAAAAGAAATTGAAAATGACACAAAAAAGTGGAAGGACATTCCATATTCCTGGATTGGAAGAATCAATATAACCAAAATTGCAACTCTAAGCAAGTTAATCTGCATATTGAGCGCAGTCCCAATCAAAGTGCCAGAGACATTCTTCACAGATCTAGAAAGCACAATCATAGAATTTGTCTAGAATCATAAAAGACCTCATATTGCCAAAGCAGTCCTGCACAAGAGGAGTGGAGTGGGTGGCATCTCAGTCCCTAACCCAAAAGTATACTACAAAGTTGTGGTAATCAAAACAGCATGGTATTGGTACAGAAACAGACAGGTGGACAAATGGAACAGAATAGAGTCCCCAGAAATAAACTCCCAAACATACAGCCAACTCATCTTTGACAAAGAGTACTAGTCAATCTAGTAGGAAAAGGAAAACCTCTTTAGCAAATGGTGGTGGAAAAACTAGATATCCACCTGCAGAAAGATGAATCTGAACCTCTACCTCTCATCATTGACAAAATCAACTCATAGTGGATGAAAGAACTATATCTCAGACCTCAAACTATAAAACTGCTGCTGGAAAACACTGGGGAAACTCTGGGAGACATTTGAGTAGGCAAATACTTCTTAAATAAGACCCCCATGCACAGTCAGTAATCCAAAAAATAGACAAGTGATATTACATCAGATTAAGAAGTTTCTGCAGGGCAAAACAGTAATTAGTATGAATTGACAGCCCTTAGAATGGGAAAATATTTTTGTGAACTATGTTTCAGATGAGGGACTGATAACCAAAATACACAGGGAACTCAAGCATCTTTCCTGAAAAAAGATGATTAACCCAATTAAAAGATGGGAGAATTAGTTGAAAAAAAAAAAAAAAACTCTCTAAGGAAGATGTACGAATAGACAAAAGGCATATGAAAAAATGGTCAACATTCCTCATTATAAGGGAGATGAAAATCAGAACCACAATGAGATACCACCTAACCCCAGTCAGAATGACTAAGTTTTAAAAAAGCAATAATTGATAACTGCTGGCGGGAGTGTAGTGAAAAGGTAACTGCTATACTGCTGGTGAGAATGTAAATTGATCCAGCCACTGTGAAGAGCAATATGGAGATTCCTCAAAGTTATACAAATAGAACTACCATATGATCCAGCAGTCCCACTCCTTGGTATCTACCCAAAGGACAGAATAATCCTGTCAGAAAAGTGCTTGCACATCCATGTTTATTGCAGCATTATTCACAAGACATGGAACCAACTCATATGCCTATGAACAGATGAATGGATTGGAAAAGTGTGGCATATACTCTATGAAATACTACTCAGCCATTAAAAAACAAACAAACAAACAAAAAACACACAAGACCCTGGCTTTTGACAAATAGTGGATGAATATGGAAGATTGACTGCTGAGTGAAGCAAGCCAGGCTATGAAGGAGAGACATTGTATGTCTCCACTTAATACATACTGCACTCTGGCGAAAACTGAATGACTAAAGGTTATAGAAACATAGTAAATGGTTGTGAATACCAGACACAGTGTGGGAAGAGGGTGGGTGAAGGAGTAGAGTCTGAGGAAGGACATTAAGTAGAAAAATAGAGAGGGAAGTCATTTATGGGACAAAGAAATGGGTTATTATATATTGAAGATAAATTAATGGTATTGTTAACTGTACTGGTGAGAAATGTTCGCATGTTGGAGTATTCATTTTGCAAGCTAAATAACATGTGATTGAATGTATAAAACAAAATAAAAAAGAAGAAAAAATATTTATAAATATATATACATATATGTGTGTGTATATATATATATATATATACATGTGTGTATATATATATACATGTGTGTATATATACACACACACACACACACACACACATACACATAGAACTTAAAAGATCCTTTGTTTAGCAAGACCATCAAGGGATCTCTTCTAATTGACAGAGTTGAAATGAGATTATATTGCATTTCCTTTTTAATTGCTCCAACCATTCTGCTTGGTTCTAACTCATAAAATGACTTTATTACAAATGCCACTTACTGGTTTTTAAACACAGAGACTCAATCTGTAGATAAAGCCTAAACAAATTTTACTAATTTTTCTTTTTTTCTTTTCTTTTAAGGAGAGGATTTTGCTATAGGGCACATGCGCTCGCCAGAAAGACAGAGAAAGACAGAAAGTGAGAAATCATCCCCCGGGGGGGATGACCATGCTGCAATCCCTTCTCCTCCATTCTCCTCTTGGGATCTTGGGCACGCACGCACATCACGCACATGTGCCTGGCGTGAGTTTAAGTCAGCGGGTCCGGATCTCGGACCACGGTCGGCTACATGGGAGTTCAGCAACATAGCCATTACACTAACTGCTGGTTCCTGAAATTTTACTAGTGTTAAATTTGCCACCATTCATAGGAGGAAATTAAAAGGTGACTATAGTTTATACATCCAGAAATAGGAAGAAAAAAAAGTCAATTATATAAAGTTGAAATGGTAATTACTAGAACAATAAGGTAGGAAAGAGAAACTTGATGTTTCATTTTTTGTACTTTCAACTGTGTGTGTGTGTGTGTGTGTGTGTGTGTGTGTGTGTGTGTGTGTGAGAATTTGGGAGAGGGTTTGGGAAGAGGGAGCCTGTCTTTGAAGTTCCTGAAACAGAGAACTGAAAGCCAGCCTCTAGATTTACCCTTGCCTCTCACATATTCATTATTGCACTGCTCTGAGCCACCCTCATCTTCTGAGCCCTAAACACAAAGAAACACACTAAACTTGGTCTGGTCTGCACCACTCCCAGTGAATATAGGATAGTCAAGAGGGGAGCTTGCTCTGTTTATAAGGAGATCCGGCCAAGCCCTTTGTTGAGCAATAATTGACAACTAACAGTGCACCCCATTCCTCTCCTATAGAGAAAACTTCTTCTCTTTTAATGAAAGACAGGAAGTGGTGGTCTGAGTAGTCACTCTTTTAGGCACAGATGGCCGTGTCATCTTTTTGCCTTTTTTAAAGAGCTCTCGGCCACTCCTGTATCCAAGGTGGCCTCCTAAGACCCCCGCATCACTTAGGCTGTAAGTCTTAGAAATAGTCCCAGCTCTATCATAATGTGACTGGTTCTTCATGGCTTCCAGCATAGGGCTGTGCATTTGGCAATAAGATATTCGCCAATTGGCAAAGTTCAAGCTTACTACATACTAGGTGACCTTTGTATTAGAGCAGTGGTCTCAACTGAGGGTAAGTAGGCTTCTTTGGGGACATTTGGCAAATTTTTGGAGTAATCTTTTAGTGTCACAACTTGGGAACAAGAAGAAGGTGCTATTAGTATCCATTGAGAAGAGGCCAGGGATGTTGTTCTGCTCCCCACCTTGCACAGTATGTTTCCTAGTGATAAAGAATGATCAGGCCCTAAATGTCAAAAATGTCAAGGTTAACAATCCCTGTGTTGGAGAGGGATCTGAGTGAATAGCAGGAGTGAAGAATAGTCCTGTATGGGAAATTGGGAGATTTACAGTTCATGTAACCTTACTGAAATAATTTCACTTTGCTAGGCCTCAGTTTCCTCCTGTGTAAGAGTCCCAACTGACATCTAAGGTCCTATCCAACTTGAACACTTCCACTGTGTACCCTCTGGTCAGAATGCTGTAACAAGAATCCTTACAGAAAACAAGGATAGGGGTGGCACAGGGGCTACAATGCCCCACGCCAGCCACACTGTTTCCTATTTCCAAGACATGAGCTGGTTGTGTGTCAAAAACTAGAATGCTGGGTCAGCCCTGTAGCCTGCATCAGGTTAAGGGGACTGAATCCCACATGGCCAGGTGTGGTTCAAATTCCAGCTCCAGTGGCTTAAAAAACATTGGATGTATGTGTGTGCATGCCCCAAATCCTGACGGGATAGAGAAATAGAGGAGAAGAGATTGTGGCATGACCACACCCAATTGGGAGTGCTTTCTCCCTCTCCCTTTCCCTCTTCCTTTCTCTCTCCCTGTCTCTTTCTGGTGAGCACAGGCAGTCTCTAGCAATAGTAATAGTAAAAAAGAACTGAGGGGCCAGCAGGTGGCGTGGTATTTAGGGGCACTGGACTCCCAAATGGCCGACTGTGTTTTGAGTCCTGCACCTGACAGCTTGCTTTCTCACTTTCTCCCTATCTCTCTCTAGCTCTGTCCTTCTCTGCTCAAATTAAAATAAATAAAGTTAAATAAAATAATTCTTTAAAGGAAACAAAGCTGAAATGTTGATGGCAATCAAAACTCAACAAAACAAAGAAGAGCATTAATCAAATATTCTTTTAAACTGAAAAGTGAGGCGTCATAAAGATACAAAGAAAAAAATTGGGGGGAGCCCAGCAGGTGGTACAGTGGTTACAGCCACTGGACTCCCACATGGCTGACTAAGGTTTGAGTCTTGGACCTGGCAGCTTGAAAATCATGCTGGTACATGTGCAAGCACACCCAAAATCTCAGGAGAATGAAGGAGAAGGGATTGCAGTGCGGCCATCCCTCTGGGGAGTGATTTCTCATTTCCCTTCTCACTGTCTCTGCCTCTTTCTAGCAGGCACATGCACCCTATGAAAAAAAGAAAAAACTTAAGAAAATTGGGCATCACCAACCTGAAAGTTAATGGTTACCATTTAAGGTCGATGGAACATAGCTTAATCTTTGATTTGAAATGTGGCAAATTATACTGTGTTGTACTGGTAAATGGGAAAAGAGACTCTCTGTAGGGAGAATGTTGAACTATTTATTCTGAGATTTTTAAGCACATTTTGTGGGTTGGGGGGAGTTTGTTTTTGCAGTCATTTCTCCTTAATTCACTTTTTAAAAGTTACAGCCCATCCTCACACACAGTGGCCCCCCACTAACCACAACTCTCCCTGCCTGGTGTGGCTTGCTAGCTCGATGTCTGACCAGTCCCCAGGTGTATGATGTAAGTACAATATACTGGGATTTCTTCCTGCTTACTGAGCCAGGGTGGTTGCTTACCTCAGTAGAAGAAACCCATCTTACTCATGCCTCCAAACCCACACATTTTCTTCTCTAATCGGACAATAAGAAATCGACCAATTCATGTATGTTTATGTGTTTTGTACAGTAACAGAGAAACCTTTTATCGAGGTTATGGGACTCCCCAACATCAGTAGCTGTGGTGTAGAAAGAATGCTGGATTTGGAATCAGAATATCTAGATAGAAATCCAAGCCCTGACAGGCCATTTAAGTGTTCTGTGTCTCGGTTCTCTAATCTGTAAAATGGGCCTAAGACTATGAGCAGGCTATGAAAATTAAATGTTGAGAAATGTAAAGATATATACTGTAGGGTCCAGCAGGTGGCATGGTGGTTAAGGTGCTAGACTCCCACATGGCCCACCATGGTTTGCGTCCTGGACCAGGTGGCTTTATTTCTCATTGTCCCTTTCTCGCTCTCTCTCTCTCTCTGATAAGCACATTACCCTATAGCAAAATTTAAATAATAATAATAATTACAATAAATAAATGATTTTTTAAAAGATTCACCATAAACTACACTTCTCAGGCACAAGGATTCCTTTTGTAAGTATTTTATGTTGGTGTGGTTAGGTTCTTTCTTTTAATTTTCATGTTCTAGAAATAATCCTAGCACAACATGAAAAGAAAGCACAGTGGTGGACATCTTTGATTTAGAGCTGATCCCTATATTTAGGGCTTGAACTCCTGATGTGGATCGCAGGGCAGGGAGGTGGAGAGAGCAAGCAGCTACCCACAAAGCAGAATTAGAGAATAGGTCAAAGACCCTCTTCTTCCCTATCTCTCCTCCACCATCTTTATTATGTTATTTCCATAATCATTATGCCCTGGGAGAAGATAACATCAGGTATTTGTGCACAGGTTTTCAGCTCACAAAGGCTAATTTCATGCTCTTGCTCATCCTGTGTAAGCAGGTATACAGTGTGATCAATGAGGAAAGTACATCTCAGTGATGATATGTAGCATTCACAGTCCTGTGGTTAGTAATCAGCAGTACTGAGAGCCTAATATAGGTCTCCAAATAATTATCAAATAACCTGTAGTTTATTTGATCTGTAATGGTGCAAAGGCAGGATGAGAAGCCCAGGTCTGAGTGAGAAGGGCCCTAAGTAGGTAAGTTCTAATGGGGGTTAGGAAAGGTGGTACACATTCAGGTGATAGAGGAGAAAAGGATGTGGACATGCAGCTAGGCAGGAAGTGCTGAGGCAGAGAGGAAGGGAAGCCACATCAGAGCACCTAAGACTGGGGGATGCAGCTCCTTAACTGGCATTCTCTTCCTTTGAGAATGGGGATTGCAACTGCCAGGTTGCCATTGTCCTTAAACCTCTACTGTTACTCGGTAGGGGAGCCCAGCAGAGAGTATGCTCTAGGTACCTGCCTTCCAAAGCCCTTGGCACCTCTCCTTGGTCCATTCAGAGGAAGGTGACTGTTGAAAGACCTGATGGGTGGGCCAGCTCCACAGCCTGGAAATTATGGATTGGATCCCATGTGGCTGACCATGGTTCAAATCCCAGATCCAGCAGCTCCAAAAACACACCAGATGCATGTGCATATGTGTCCCAAACCCCAACAGGTTCGAGAAATGGAGAATATATTGCATTGTGACCATCCCCATTGGGGGGTGGTTTCTTCATTTCTCTTTTTCTCTCTCATTCTGGCCAGTGTATGTACCCTCTGGCAATTAAAAAATGAAAAAAAGAAAAGGCCTGATGGGCAGTGACAGACTTAACACCTGCAAACCCAACTGGGCTGCTGGGTTTGCCTCTTTGGCTTTTCACCAAACATGACTGAGAATAGCATTCATGCCTGCTTCTCTTGAAGATAGTCGAGCCTTCCAGCATCCCCAATTCCTCCCATTATATATACTGAAATTCGTGTGCCACCTGTCCCTAGGACTGCTCCCCATTTGTAAAGTGATTTTTAATGCTGTGGTTAAGTATTTTATAAAGTTTATTTATTATTCCATGAACAAGGGAGACAGAGACAGAGAGAGAAATACAGCATCCTGAGCAGGGTCTTCACACCACAATCCACTCCCAAGCTCAGCCAGATACAAACTGACAACCTTCTTATGTGGGTCAGCCTTGCAGAATATCACATATTACCACTATACTGGCCAACCAATTTTCTTAAGTTAATATATGTATCAGCCTAAACAGTACTGCTAGTTGCCTTTTATGACAGAAGGATATAGACCAGTAGATAAAAATTTCTCATCCTGTGTCCATTTTTGTGTTGCTAACAGAAATACCTGAGGCTGGGTGAATGATAAAGAAATAGAAGTTGAGAGACCAGCAGTTAGCGTAATGGCTATTTCGCTGGACTCCCACATAGTCGATCGTGGTTCGAGTCCTGGACCCGGTGGCTTAAACTCACGCCGGGCATGTGTGCGTACGTGCCCAAGATCCCGAGAGGAGAATGGAGGAGAAGGGATTGCGGCGTGACCATCCCCCCGGGGGGTGATTTCCTGCTTTCTATCTCTCTGTCTCTCTATGTCTGTCTGGCGAGCGCACACGCCCTGTAGCAAAAATCTCTCTCAAAAAAAAAAAAAAAAAAGAAAAGAAAAGAAAAAGAAAAGAAAAGAAAAGAAAGAAATAGAAGTTGAATAACTCACAAGTCTGGTGGCTGGAAAGTCCAAGGCATCACAAAATGGTGGAAGACAGAACTTTCAGCAGAGCATAGTCTGTATCCATGTGGTTTTCTCTCTCCACTATGTTCTCATTCCCTCTGCTTATAGTCCTGCCATAACTCAGTCATGGAGATCCCACCCTAATGACATTATCACACCCATGGATGCCACCCTAGGACACCATGAAGGAATTTTTTACTTCACACCTTTACAATACAGTCAAATCCCAATTACCTTTATTTCTGGGGGACATCCAGTCACCACCCAGTAAGACTAAATGTCAAAAGATGAAACTTTGGAGGACAAACCATGACCCAAACCCCAACATCCTGCTCCTAGCTTACTTAAGAAGAGCTGTGCTGTTGGGAATGCTGTGTGGCTTGTAGAATGTGGATGTGTGTCTAGGGTTGCTATCATTTCACTTAGCCATATTTTCTCATCCAGACAGAGCGCTGACTGCATTGTCATGTCTCTTACTGAGGAAGCTCCAGCCAATTACACCTTTCAGTCTGAAGTTTCACTGGGTTTACATCTTTATTTGCCTTATAGCTCTAATCTCCTCTTCTGCCTTAATTAGGTTTTAATAAGGGTCACTTCATGTCTGTGTAATAGTAAAACAACTAACCCGCTATTAAAACTTCATAAAAACCTTATCTAACTGAAAACTTAATATTGCGTTATTGGAAAAGTCATGAAGCATTTTTGCATAGGAAAACATAGAAGAATATGCCATGACTTTTCCAATGACCAAATATTTCTTTGCTCATGGATTAAAAACATCTAGACCAGTGCAGTGGCACAGCAGTGATTCAGTACTCTGTGATGCTGAGGCCATGTGAGAGGCTCCCTGGTCTGATTCACAAGGTCTCCCAGTGCATGCTGGGTGGCCACATGCACACCCATAATCCTGCCTAGCTGAGGCTGGGGTGGATCACAGTTTAGGGACCCTGTTGGGGGAGTTCCTGCCTGTTTGTCTATCTCTTTCTCTTTGTCACAAAAGAAACCGAAACAATCAACTGGGGATATTTGGACAAACTTGAGCTCAGCATAAACAATAAACTTCCCTCACCAGTTTAAGAAACTAAAGGTTTGCTACTAGGGATCATGTGGGGCTGTGGACTCTCCACAACTAGTCTAAGATGGGGACTTGGGCTACCAGCAAGAATCACCCTCAATACTACTGCTGCAGCTGCTGCTTTGGGCTGAGGTCCTGTCCAGGGTCTCAGCTCTGACGCAGCAAGGCCTGCCACCAACAGTGAGCAAAGGATTTTTTTCAAAATTATCAGTTGAGGAACCCAAACGTGAGAGAGGTGGAGAAGTTCAGTGTAGAGTTTAGTGCCAGTTGAGAGTCAGACTGACTGAGCAGTTTTCACAGCTGCTTGATACACCTGTGGAGTGGTTCTTATCCATCACCTACAGGGTATTGAACTTTGCCAAATTTATTTGGAGATATCTAAGATGTTCATCTTTATTTCCGCTAACTATAAACCACTTAGATTTTATATCTGCCTAGAAAACAGTGTCCTGCCACTACTGAGAATGGCCTCTGGTTATTTAAAATGCACACATTCTCATAACACTCTTGCTTACAGGTGTTTTCAGAGTCATTTCACTACATTTTCCTAACAGCTTCACTGGAGAGCTACTTATATAATTATGTACACATTCAGCATAGCAAAACCTGAGTTGATCCTATCATCTAGAATGCCAGGCTGTGGGTAGGTTTGCCCATCTGCATATAACATTACTAACCTTTGATTTGAGAAACACTCTCCACTTGGCTTTCCTGTGTCCTTGTTTCTGAATGACTTTGCCTTGGATACTGCTAGCCTTCATAAATATATTGAATCAGTGTCCAGTCTTGTTTTCTCCTGTCAGTGAATTTTGCCCCTGCTTCTCTCTATAAGGAGTCAGGGCAGGTCACACCAAGCTCATATCTGGGGTGCTCTCTGTGATGGGGTTTCCTCCATTTGCAGGATTATTTTCACATGCAGTCGTTGTGTTTCCCTCTGTCCATCTAAAGCTCCAACCTTGAAGCAGTAAAATATATGCCAGAACCATCTCCCTGAAAATTGGAAGTGAAGGGCTCTGGCAGATATTTTGATTGAGATGAACAAAAACATTCTTCAGCACATGTATGAACAGGAGAACTGGACCATGCTAGAACAGGAAAGGAAGACTCCCTGGAAGTTGGGTGCTCAGATGGAGAACATGATGTCATTTGTTGTTAGGAAAACTATTGTGGAAAAAGAAAAAAAAAAACATTGTGGAGGAGATTGAGTTTCAGGACTTCCTCAACACTAATGAAGAAGAGGAAATGTTTGAGTTTGGAGTGAGTTTTAGAACTTTGCTCTAAATGTCTGCCTGACTACAGGGTTTTTATTTCATGGTACATTTGCCTCTGGCCTCATTACAGCAAGGATTTGAGGCAGTGTGAGAGAAGCTGCACACTTACCTGTTAAAAATTTCAGAGCTGAGACTGGCAGGTGACATGGTGGTTAAGGCACTGGACTCCTAGATGGTCAACCACAGTTTGGATCCCAGACCTGGTGGCTTGCTTTCTCACTTTCCCTTTCTCTCTCTGGTAAAATTAAATAATAATAATAATAAATACAATTAAATAAATAATTCTTTAAAAATCTTTTCTAAAATAAAAATACTTGAGCATTGGTTAAGCAGAGTCACATTGTAGACTCTGTGTGGGGAGGTCGACATCACTGAGAAACAGTTCAGGAAACAAGCATGTGCTTGCTGCCAGCACACACACAGACATGGTTTGGGACAAGTGATGGACTAACCCAGGGATCCTCCCCAGCCTGGTGTATTTCCTGGGCATCCATTGAGTACCTAGTGTGAGCTGAGCACCATTGAGGTAGGGCACCAAGAAGAGAAGAAGGCCTCTGCCCTTTGATGATTATCATCTGGATAGGGAATCCAGGCACTGACCAGAGGAACTGCCTATAGCCCGGGCACGGGCCCTGAGGAGTCGGGGACAGAGGACTCCAGATGAGCTTTGAAGGATAGGAAACAGGAGAGAAAAGAGCAGTTTACCTAGAGTGTTTTTTGCTACTGTGTGTTTAACATTCAAGATGTCCCATTCATTGCTTGATAGTCCTGGTGTAGGGCCCTCTCCCAGATTGCTTGTTAACCCATTGGAGGCAAAAGATTCTGTTTGATTTCCACTGCCTTCGTGAAACTCTCCTTGCCATCTGGTCAAGAGGCAGCAACTTTGTTAACACTAGCCTTGCTTAGCCATGTCAGTTTTGCTATGGCCACAAGGGCTCTTCAGAAAGTTCGTGGAAAATATGTATCATGAAAAACACTGCATGGATTTCAAAAATTTCCACAAGCTTTTTGAAATCCCCTCAAACTGCTTAGCATGAGGTACCATTCAGTCCTTTTCCTGAAGGGCTGATTTTTCACATCCTTTAGGTGAATAAAACCAGTCTGGATATAGCATGAATCCTAACTGCTTCCTACCAGCAAGATAACCTCAGGCACATTCCATAGGTTCCATTAGCTCTTTTCTACTTTGTGATAAGAGTGTGGTTATGTCACTTGGCTCCCATATGACCGATTGCGGTTCGAGTCCCAGTCCCAGCAGCTTGAAACCATGCCAGGTGCATGTGTGTGCATGCCCAAGATCCTAGGAGAATGGAGGAGAAGGGATTGTGGCATGACCATCCCCCCCCAGGGGCTGGTTTCTTGGTTTCTGTCTCTCTCCCTCTCTGGCAAGCACAAGCATCCTATAGCAAAAATCTCTTTTCAAGAAAAAAAAAATGTGAGTCCCAGACCCACTGGCTTGAAACTCACACCGGGTGCCTGTGTGTGAGTGCCCAAAATTCTGGGAGGAGAAGGAATTGCAGTGTGGCCATTGCCCCTAGGGGGGATTTCTCACTTTCCCTCTTACTGGGGCACACATGCCGTAAGTAAAAAACCTCACAATAAAAAGTGTCTGTACCCCATCACAGGGGGAGGGGTCAGGATCAAATGAGAACTTGTATGAAAATCCTGGTGAGAATATCAGAGATTTACAATAGGGAGCCAGGCAGTGGCACAGCATAAATCTCACATTCTGCCAGCCCAATTCGTATGGGAAGGTTTCTGTTGCAAGTCTAAAGGTCTCTCTGAGTGCATTGGGCACAAATGTGCACATAATCCAGGGCTGGATGAAGCTAATAGTGGTGTTGGGACCCTGTTAGAAGGTACTGTCTATATCTATGTGTCTCTTTTGCTCATGGAGCAAATACATCAACTTAAAAAAATAGATACTCAATAAAAGGTATTCTCCTCTGTCCTTCGCTTCTCCTCCTAAGGATGTAGAGAGGAGGAGGGCTTCTCAGTAGGGTTTTGTTGTGGGGACAGCAGACGGGAAAGAGGGAGGAGATAATAATTATGGTTTGTCCCCTTCCCTCAACTACTAATTAGGACAAAGAGTAGTTCAAATGTAGACCAGGTGAGTATAGGATGGTTTGGGCAGGCCAGGAGGTCCACCCAGGAGGCCTGCCTAGAGAAGAGTGCCTGGAACCTATCTGCAGCACTTGCCCAGTGATTGTACCCCTTCTTTTCTTCATGGTTTGGGAAGATGAAAATCCAGGCTAGTCTCCCTTTCTTCCCTTCTTCACTAACCCTGAGCCTTCAGACATCTGAAATCAGACCTGCTTTTTGGTATTCAAAGTCTCAGTTCCACCAACAGTCCCTTGCATTGAATAGTACCCTACAGATTATAGGCAGTTACCATACTAGAAGCTCAGGGAAGGTGAGTTTCATAGTCAGTAGTTTTCAGATGAATTGTGGGCATAGGGTTACTCCAGTACAGGAATTAGCAGTCTCTCATTTTTGTTGTCACTGTTGGTTATACTTTTCAGAACCAAGAGCCGCTGAGAGAGGAAGACTCGGATTTCATCCTGACTGAAGGTGACCTTACCTTGACCTATGGGGACAGTACAGTGACTGCCAATGGCTCCTCAGGCTCCCACACAGCCTCCACGAGTCTTGAGGGTGGTCGGAGAACAAAGAGCAGCTCTGAGGAAGTGTTGGATCGAGACCTGGGAATGGGAGACCAGAAGATCTCGAGCCGGGGCACACGTCTGGTGTTCCCTCTGGAGGATAACGCATGACCTTCCCCACAAACCCAGAGAAATGGGGGAGGCCCCCAGTGGGGTGAGGCTGGCTGCAAGCCCCCTTATGTTTGAGATGGGGCTTGGACTGAACTGAATTAATGCTTCTATTTTATTGGGATCTGAAACTATCTTGACACCTAAAATTTAACCCAATACAGATGGTGAGGCTACAGTGTCTCTAAATGAAGACAAATGCAGACCTAGTCCCACTTTTTCACATAGTAGTGCGCTGTTTCAGAGTTAAACACACAAAATAAGCATGCTTTAATGGTCTCTTACTTCATTCACCTGCAGTATCTGAATAAGGTGGAGCAGGTGTTGGGGATTCCTCCCATGAGAGGCTTCATCTCAGCACATAGCAGTGCAAGTTGAGCTGGCTGTAGAAACATCAAGTTAAGGAGATGAGCTAGAAGAAAGATCTCAAAGGAAAGCAATTGAGGTTGGCTCTCAAAGATTTTGTGGGAAACTGGTGTTAAACAGGACAGAAAATATGAGAGAGCAATCTGAGTGGGAGCTCTGGCAAGGAAGGCTGGGTGACTGCAATGTCATTTCAGGATCCCTGGCCTTTTATACTACCTGTGTTTCTTTGAGGCTGAAGATTAGGAAATATATCCATGAACATTTCAGCCTGGGGGAAAGATAGTTCCCTCTCTGGAAATCTCCATAAAGAAGATATTATTGCAGTGTTTAAAACCAAAGGCTGACAGTGTTATGCTGTTGGTTTTTTAATTAATCTGAGGGCAGGAGGTATTTAGAAACTAATGATACTGCAGAAGTCATTCAACTTGTGAGATCTATCCTAAGAGCTGACAGCCTGGGAAATGATTAATAGGATTGAGGTATCTACTATGGGTTTAGAAATAACACTCAAATGTGTGGGATGTTTTGGGGGAATAAAAGGCAGCAAGAAACCTAAGAGGCAATAGTAAAATAGAAAGAAAGCTCAGTGCAAAAAAAAAATTAGCTTCAAAGAAAATACAAGGTAGTACTTTTAAGACTGAATATAATTCCAAACTTCTTGCTGATGAATGCATGAGATTTCAATGGTCACATAAGCAATCAGCAGTGAGTCAGTGGACCATTAAGCATTATTCCACTCAGTAGAAGGTTCTGTTTCTGTAAGATTAGGAGTCTAGGTGTCTACACTGCTCAATGCCATGCAGAGAAGGGTCATTTTCATGGTAAAGGAAGAGGCTGTTGTACCAGCTTGGTAACTAGGTGTGGTTTTAAATTGAGGTTTTGAGTTTGGGTTCTTTCTGAGTGAGCTCTTCTACCTGCCCACACCTGTAGTAGGTCCAATACAAGAGAACACTTAGAAAAAGTTTTGAGTTTTTCTCCGTATCTCTATGCTTCAGTGCTAGCATTTTTATCAACTCAGCTTCTAAAAAGTGCTTTCATAACGTGGACTTTTTTTTTATTATGGAAGACAAAGTCTCAGTCTAGTATTCCCATAATTAAATTAGCCACTTAATCTTAACTCTTTTTTTTTTTTTTTTTTGAGACAGGGTCTCACTATGTTACCTGGCTGGCCTTATACTTGGAATTCTGCTGCCTCAGCCTTCTGAGTAACTGGGATTACAGGCATGAGCCACCATGCCTAGCTCAACTCACATTTTTAATGGTTAATTTTTAAGGAAGACATTGCTTCACAACCTTATGTTTGAACTAATCACTTGTGCCAATCAGGAAACATTAGGTTGAGCCATATGAAATTGCTGGTATTCAACCTTTTTTTTTTAAAAAAAAAAAAACATACATGGCAATATCATACGGTTCAGTATAAAATAACTGACTTTTTATTCACCTCTTCCTGTCTGTATAAAGTCTATTTGGATTTTATGATCATCCATGGGTTTTTGTAAGTTTGGAAAAAAGCTAAATAATGGACCTATGAGGCCTCAGGGTTACTAGGCTTGTGAAGGACTTAAGAAGGCCCACACCACATAGCCAGAGAAAGAGATTTCCTAGAAACCCCTGGAAGGGAGTTTTTCATGTTATGCAGACAGCAACTTGCAGGCATGGCAGAAGGCTGAAGGTGTGCGGTATGTTCTCAGATCTACCAGCCCAAGAGTTCTTATCAACTTTAAAATGAGGCTTTCTTGTTTATTTTGGATTTCTGGAAGGCTGGTTGGCTCTTTGGTTGGGTCTTTATAAAGCCTTGCATATCTCTTATGTCATTTACTTACTTTTGGAGAGAAAACATTAACAGAAAAACACTGATGAATGGTTCTTAAAGAGCCAGTCAGGTAGGATGCATTATTGTTTTCATTAACATCAAGATTTTGTTTTAATTTTGGTTTTCTAGGAAGCTTGCAGAAGATAAGAAATTGCAAACCTCTTGGAGCAGAAAAATAACCACTGAGTTTCCCATCTTAGTTTTAGGTCAATTCACAGATTATTGTTTTCCCCTAAAAGGCCTTAGAGTCCTCATCACAAATATTTTATTCTGACCTACTTAAATGTACATAAATGGAGATTTGCCAAGACCAAAATTAGAGTTGTAATTATTTGACTAGAGCTCTTATTCAGTGGACTGAAGTAAGTCACTGGTCCTAATTTTTGTTTGCAAGATGTGGAGAATAACCCTGACTTTAGGGTTCCTAGGAAAGTGAATCTATTCTCAAAATGGCTCTACATCTATCAGCATTATTTCTATGCTGCATGGCAAAAAGTAAGGTACCACAGAGCCCGGAACACATCCAACTCAAGGCCAACTATTTGCTGCCAGTCAAATTGGGGCTGCTAAGTGATGGGGCATTCACCCAAACCAAGTTCTCCTGAGAGTAAATCCAAGTCATCTTATACATATCTGTTCCAGGCTAGGGGGATGACAGTTTAGCAGAGCTGGATGTTCTAGAGCAGAAGTTATCAGCTTGGCTTGCATTAGGATTACCTATCCAGTTTTTTGTTTTATTTTTGTGTTTTATTTTATTTTATTTATTTTTTTTATCGCTACAAAGGACCTTACCTTCAGAGATTCAGATTCAGTAGCTTTGGGTGGGGCCTGGCCTCCATGTTTTGTTTTGGAACCTCAGGAGTTCTGAATATACCAGGGTTGAGAGTCTTTAGGAGCCAAAGTTCTATTTGGAACCTTATTTAGAAGAATAGCCTAGCAAGTTAAGGGTTTGGTTGTGTTAAATTGTGAGTCATGTATAACAGAGTTTTGATCAATAATACAAGTCTGGACAGTTGCGAGAATTTCATGCTAAACTTTGCTGAACTCAAAACATACTTCAAAAAGTATTACAGACAAGGTCGTGTTTTTGTAAACATTGGCACCTTCAAGGAGAAGGATGACTTGAGTATATGTATGGGGAGAATTTAAAACCTGTCATCATCATTCCCATTCTTGGAGGAATGAGAGTAGTCTTAATTGCTGACTAATCAGACATGATTTCTGGGAAGCTATCTTCTCAGTTTAACCTGGAATTAAATTAATAGTCCCCTTTTCAGTTAGACTTTCTCTTAAGTTGTTCCTGTGCCTGAGTCTACATTGGATTTCTCAGAATAAAGAGGGGCCCATTTTCTGCCAGAGCAGAATAGAAGGTTATGATTTCTTTGCTGTTACCTGGCTGTGATTGTGTCGGTGGCAGGGTATTAAGGAGATGCTGACTGTAGTACAACACTGACAGAAGACAAAAACGTCTGTCATTCCTTTTAATGCTCTTTTTGGAGAACTTCCATGGAACCTAAACTTTCTCTCCTAGAAAAGGAAATTTGGAATTTAAATAAGGCTGCATTTCTTCATAGGAAATAAGCACAGGGAGGACATATGGACTCTGTTCACCCAGGGTACTTACTGGGGTGACCAGACAAAGAAGCATTGATGCCTTGAAGCCAAAAATCACACTGTGACATCAAATGTTTTATCAAACAAATAGCAAGGAGCTCTTTGGGCTATGTCCTTTAGACCCAAAAAATGTCCTCTGTTTGGATGACAAATGAAATCTCTTTAGAAAACATGCAAATGTTATCTCAGCTATCCATGAACATTTCAGTCCATGGCAAAGAATAAGCAGTTCCTTTTAAAACTGAGGTCAGCTTCATGTCAAGCCCCCCTTCCCACCCCTGCCCCATCATATTTCCCTTTCTTTGTCTGCAGTGAAAGTTAATGTAATCATGTCAGCTATTTAATGTGGATAAGTGACTTCCAAATATGGAAATACCATCAGTGCCCTTGGGAAAGAACAGCGGCTTGGTGTTGGAGTAACTCATCAGAGGTGAAAACCATCCACTGGGAAACCTACCTTGTACCCATTGTGAGTTCTAAGAGGTTTATCAGAAAGCTGATTTGACCATCTGCTATAAAATATGATCCAGAAGGAGGGCTGCCAGCAAGTCAACTTGCTGATCCAGTAAGTATAGGACTTCCTCAGAAGTGAGGATCTTGACAAGGTTCTCACCTGCCTTTTGATGCTGATTCTGTAGATTAGATAGTATAGGAAGGAGTCTGTCAGATATAATGGTATCACTGAGTCCTGATCTCTTCTGTTATTTTGTAAATGAATCTGGCTCGCCAGTGTCCATTGCTGTGTTCTGATACAGTAAGTAGGAGGAAGCTAGTGGCCAAGAGTTGTCTGTAGTTGAGAAACAACGCATCTGAATGCTGCTTTCACTACTTTGACACCTGAAAAGACCTTCCCCCTTTCTAAAACCTAACAAAAACATAAGAGGAAATACTGTAGAAATTAATGCTAGTGTCCAACTAGGAAAAGCAAGTAACCTGTTGGACAATCCTTTCAAAACAAGACCTAGAAAGAAACTATTTTTTTCCAGTTTCAATTTTCATAGACATTTTGAAAGATTAACACATATGTCTTGTCATCCAGTGCTATCAAAGACTATAAAAAGAAAAACCAAAGTTTTGGATGTTACTTTTATTTTCTAAGCAGGGTATACTATAACCATTGCCCATATGGAATGCACGGGCAGCCAGCTTTGTGCTACCTGAGCCTGGCCAAGATGAGAAGGAAAGTCTCTGTATTTTGCTGCCTTTTGAGAAGATCTGAAGCAGTGATGGGAGCACATGGCAGCTGTCACCTTCTCATTCTGATGGCCACCTTTTAAAAGGGGTTAACAGAATTTCCAAATATCATGGTTGAGTCTCAACTCTTGGCCAGAGGAAAACTTTTGGCCTGTATATGTCAGAGGAACTCAGAAAAGGACTTGGAAACAACATGAAGAACTCGACATGTACTGTGTAAAGCATTTTAAGTTAGGATCCAGGTGTTAACTGAATAACTAACTGCATGGACATTTGACATCTGGGGCTGACTTTTGTAGTGATTATTCCAGTTGTGGGCCTTGAAGAAGCAGAGGAATGCTTTTTGGTTGTGTAGGTGTTATGTATGGATTTGGAATTTACCACTGAAATCACTCATTCAAATGTGACTTCGTAGTAGAGTCAGCTTCTCCTACGTTGTCTTTTTATTTTTTACATCAAATATATCTGTTACTTCTTACTTGGGAAGTTTTACTACGTCCATTATAGTGGTTAAATGGGAAGACTGCTAAGATTCATTTAATAGTTGGAATGCAGTTTTTAAAAAATGAATAGGATGAATTTAACAAGGAATGATGTGACTTTCTGGGAACTTTTTATAGAGCTTATTACATACTGTGATTGGAGAGAATTTTGCCTTCTACTTCCATTCAACAGTAGCAAACTGGTGGTTTTATAAAATTAATATTGTACTATGTTCTATAAACATATTAAATGACATTAAAGTATGTTATAACTGTGAAAAAGTAAAGACTTGGAACTATCCGCAACCTTTATGTGCAATAAAGAAAACTGCAGGTAGGCCCCCAAAGTGCTAACTTTCCCTTACATTTAACTTAATGTTTGCCTTTGTGTGTATGTTTAGATTGCTATTGTAAAGCTGGCCACATGTTTTCCAGCCCTTTACCGATATTTAACACATTTTCTCAAAGCTTTTTTTTTTTTTTTAACAAAACTCAAAATAAAAAGATTAACTGGCTGAGCTAATCTTGTTTTGTATTTTTAAAGTATGGTCTTTTAGAAGGGTGCCGTATGATTTTGTTCCTAGTCTGTTTTTCTTCCCTTATAGATAGGTTCTTTTCTGAGAGCTATCCTTTTCCAGTTTTATTTAGACCTGGGGTTAGCAAACTACAGCTGGCCCCTGAACCAAATCCAGCCCCAGGACTGTTTTTGTAAATAAAGTTTTATAGGTATCCACTATGTTTATTCATTCATATATTGCCTATGGCTGATTTTGTGCTACGGCACAGCTGAGGAGTTGCAACAGAGATTTTATGGCTCATAAAGAATAAACTATTTACTAGACCTTTTACAGAAAAAGTTTTTGCCAACTCCTGATTTAGATGCTTGAAGAAATTCAGTTTTAAAATAGGGTATAAAACTCGTGGCAACAGATTTTTGAGATTTTTTTTAAGTATGCCTAGGGTCAAAAGAAATATTTTAAATGTGGCTTCTACATGTGACTCCTCCTGGCCTGCAGCAGTCTGTAACAGGGTTTGAGGACAGAATGCTGAATAAGGCATCACTGAGTGTTGGCAATATCAAGTTGTAAGACTGAGGTGAGTGGATTTGGTATTGCAGCTTAGTGCCTACGTTCTTACTGGATAATTGCTAAAATTCTAGAATTCATATACAGTTTCATAGTCTTCATATTCCTCTATATGTGGAATAGCTTTTACCTGAAATATGCAATTAAAATACATCATAAAATCTGCTTCCCCACAAAATGAAACAAAACAAATTTTGTCATTAATGTGACTCCAGTCATTTACTAGTGTAATTATAGAAACACCAGGGAGAGCCAGCAGTAGGGGTACAGCAGTAACATAGTGCTCTGCTATGTTGAGGTCACATGAGAAGGCCCCAGGTTTGCATACCAAAGCTCCCTATATATGCCAGGCACACCTGCTTGTGCCTGTGGTCCCAGCTGGCTGGGAGTGGATCATGGTATGAAGATCCTGTTGGGGTTGCCTCTCTCTCATCACCACCTCAAGAAATAAAAAAACAAAAACACCAGGTAGAACAATTTATTTATTCATTTAATTTGTCACAGGGTGCATGTATTCGACAGAGAGATGAAGGGAGAAGAAGAAAGCACTCCATAATGGGGCATGGTTACATTGCAGTCCCTTCTCCGTCTCTCCATCCTGTTGGGATTTATGCACACATACACATAAATGGCACATTTTTTAAGCCACCAGTGTTGGGACTTGAACTGTGTAGTTGGGCATGTGGGATCCAGCTCCCTTAACCACCAGGTCATTGACTGGTGCAGACAGAACGACTTAAAGGCAAACACTTGTTTCAGTTCATTAAGATTCTTCCACCAGAGAGAAAATTACTTTTTAAGAGTTGGTTCTGGGTGGTAGGGGTTAGCAACCTGTAGGGGAGCTGGATGAGCCAGGTTTAAAACCATAATTCCTAGACCTTTCATTTAATATTGAGTAATCCAATTGAGATAGGGCTGCACTTGGCCCTTATTCACATTGATGTTTTTGTCTAGACACCTGCTGATGTGAAACAGCACCAAATCACATCTCTTCTTTGTTGCAAGGATGCCTTGTTGAAATGGCTCCAGCAGAGGCAGGTTCAGCCTGGGAACCAAAACACTTCCTATTTTATGGCCATAAATATCCACACTGAAAAAAAAGAAAAGAAAAAAATATCCACACTGCATTGTGACTTCCTTCCTGGAAACTTCATCTCACCCAATGTGTCCGTTGCTATTTAAGAGCATATTATATTCCTACTCAGCAGACTTGCACAGCAGTTGGTAGCAAGTTGAGCCTGAGCCTCTGACAGTGTGATAGATTGCCTCCATGGTGCTGCCCCTCCTGTGTTGGGGCTGCATGCTGAGTGCCCCCGTTCACGGTGACTGACCTGGAAGGGGAGGAACAAAGAGTGTTTGAACTTCAAAACACAGAAATCCACACAGACACAGAATCTGTTGAGCCCTGGATGATCTAAGACCTCTTAAGTATGAAACCTATAATCTTTCTTATTCAAGCCTATACTGAATCAATATCTATCATTTGTAATTTGTGAAGACAGACCAGAAGAAAATGTGACCCAAGAAGTGTTTGGTGAGAGTAAAATTAGGAAAATAATGGGGGCACCTCTGTCAGTATAGATATGCTTTATGCAGCGGTTGTGTGGTGCCTGTTAAGAACAGAGCATTCTGGGACCTGCTGGGTAGAGTCAAGAGAGGATCTGGGATTGAAGCTGTACATTTAGGTACAAACCATGTAACCATCATTTGTATACAAAGTATATCAGCATTTGTACACTGTTAAGTCTGCAAAATGAATCATACCAACAACATTCAGCTGGTCCATAAAACCGGTTATATAGGCAATAAGTTCAGCTTTCTACCTTTGTGGAACCTGCACTTTTTTCTTCTTTTCAACTCATTGCTTTGCATGTGAATAGGGGATGGTGAGCTGACCCTGGGTATGTACGTGCTCTTTCACCAGTTTCCTGCCTTCTTGTGATGCTTCCTCTGATCTTAGATGTGAGAAAATTTGACATTTTCATTGATGCAGACTTTAGGAAAGACATACTTTAAAGGTGATTAAATATGTGCAATAAAGATTAACACTAAGCCTTAAGGAAAAGTTAACTTTGGAAATGCCTTGGAGACTTTCTAAAAACACTTTAATATCCTGCTAGTATGAGTTATTTACATAAAGAACCACCATGTCAATTTTTTGCATACTTTAATTTAATAAAAACTTGTTTTCAGATGGGCTGACTTCTGATTCCAGACAAGATAGAGTAGATATACTTCTCCATATTTCTCCCACAAAGTTTTACTAAAATCCCAAATATGATATATAGAACAATGATAAGACTCTGAAGGATGGAAAGAAGACAGACTGACTAGGAATCTTGGTAACTGAGGTATAACACAGCAGTGAGGTTCCAGGTTTTCCTTGTGTTGCCTCTATATCCTGGAATGGGTCTTGAAGAAGCCAGCAGGACAGAAAAGACACCAAAGGTCACAGATGATAAAAAGAAGAAGAAGGAGAAAGAAATAAAGAAAGAAAAGAAAAGCCTATTATCTCTAGCCAAAGGACAGGGAAGAGATCAGTCTAGAAATATAAAAACCAAGCACCACAGAAAATAAAAATCCTCCTGTTAGCAGAGGCCTAGTGGGAAGCCAGAACTTCTGGATTGCCACCCCAATCTGGAAGTAAAAAGGTGGTACATTTCTTCCTCTACCCACGCAGTGTCAATAGAGCCTGCTAAAATTGAAGGTTTTTAAAGAATTATTTAATTTTATTCATTGTCATTTTTTAATTTTATTTTTGTGAAGATCAGAGAGAGACAAAGAGAGAAAAGGAAAGTGAGAAAGCAAGTTGCCAGGTCCAGGACTGTAACCGCAGTCAGCCACATGGGAGTCTAGCCACCTTAACCACCATGCCACCTGTCGACCCCAAAACAGAAGATTTAAATTAAATGTAGAAATTCATAACATAATACTCCAAATGTCCAGGATACAATGAGGAGAGCACTTTGAAACCCAGAACCAGGGAAATGTCAACTTGAAGGAGAAAGACTACTCACAGATAATAACACTGAGATGACACGTGTACTAAAAATTCAGGAAAAAAATTGTAAGAAGCTCTTATAAAAATGCTTCAACTAGCAACTACAAACACACTTGAAACAAAAAGATAGAAATTCTCAGAAAAGAAATATATCTTAAAAAGAGACAAATGGAAATTTTAAAAGTATAAAGAACAGTAACAAAAATGAGAAAACCTCAGTAGATGGATTTAATAACAAAATTGACAGAGTAAAGAATAAGTGAATCTGGGAATCAGCAGTTAGCGTAATGGCTATGTCGCTGGACTCCCACGTAGTCGACCGCGGTTTGCGTCCTGGACCCAGTGGCTTAAAACTCACGCCGGGTGCGTGTGCGTGCGTGCCCAAGATCCCAAGAGGAGAATGGAGGAGAAGGGATTGCGGCGTGACCATCCCCTCTGGGGGGTGATTTCTCGCTTTCTGTCTCTATGTCTCTCTCCGTCTGTCTGGTGAGCGCACGCGTCCCATAGCAAAAACCTCTCCAAAAAAAATAATAAGAAGAATAAATAAATCTGAAAATGGAATAGAAATTACCCATCAGAACAGCAGAAAGCAGAATGAAAAAAGATGAGCAAAGCTTCAGAGACCTGTGGAACTACAATAAATAATCGACTATTCATGTCATCAGAGCTCTAGAAAGAGAGTGGGACTGAAAAATTACAGATGCTACTTGAGGTACAATGGGGCTATGTCCTGATAAACCCATTGCAAGTTGAGGATGTTAATTAAAAACTGCATTTAATATAACATGTGGGACATCATAGCATAGTCTAGTCTACCTTAAACATGCTCAGAACACTTATAGAACGCAGTTGGTCAAAGTGATCTAATACAAAATGTACTTTACAATAAAGTATTGGATATATTATGCAATTTATTGACTATTGTACTGAAAGTGAAAAATGGAATGGTTATATGGATACTCAAAGTACAGTTTCCACTTAGTATGTATCACTTTTGTACCACTGGAAAGTAAAAAAAAAGTCATCTGTCAAACCATTCTAAATTGGGGGGCTGGTTGTACTTGAAGAAAAATGGCTTAACATTTCCCAGATTTGATCACAGACATACACCTATGGATTCAAGAAGCTGAACTAACTCCAAAGAAGAAAAACCCAAGGAAATCCACACCAGGACACAGCAGCATCAAACTTCAGAAAAATAAAGGCAAAGAAAACTCTTGAAAGCATAGATAGAAATGGCATATTATTTTTGGTGAATAACAATTTGAATGTTGATGGATTTCATTTTTGAAAGGATGAAGGTCAGAAAGCCATGGCACAACATTTTTCAAGTGCTAAGAAAATTACTGTAAGTCCATACTTCTTTATCCCATGATGATATCCTTCAGAAATGAAGATAAAATAAAGACATTCTCAGATGAAGGATAAC